TACTCACAGGGCCGTTAAGGAAAGAAAGAACTACAGTTCTGTGCTTCATGCAAGTGTTCCTATATCATGCAAAGAACTGCTTGAAAAACCGGGGCACGTCCTGAAAAACCTTCCTGATAGGACGTCGATCTCCATAAATACAAAAAAAATTCTATGACGAGCAGTCGCTACCAGTAACTATTGTTTAAGGGAGAGAGCCAAATAGAAAGAAAGCTGGGCCGTGTAAAAAAGCGTCTTACAAGTAAATAAATAACGCATAATGATCAATAAACACTTTAACAGAAAGGAGAGAAGGGTTCCAGCTGTCAAATGTGCAGCCGCTGACCATTCACCCCACCTTCGCCCGATCAAATGGGAAGATGAACTACAGTAGATCATCTAGCGAAACTCAACCTCTCTCAAATTAATCCTTTCCATCTTAATTCTTCCCTTTTTCAGCACTATGGATTGCTGCCTTCACTTAAGTGTTTTCGTAACCTTTCCGCACAAACCCTAAACCCTACAGTAGCCGGTAAAGGAACTTGCAACAACGACCGCAGAGCCATCGTATGATCACGTCTGCAGATCAATAGTGTATTCCATCAAGTCCAATATTTACCTGGATGAGTGAACATGAACATTCAAGTGGCATTGAAGACAAAACTCGCGATAAGAACTGGATGTTCATGAAAGAGCGGTACAGTAAGGGGTAGAGGAGGGCCAAGTAAACGATTTGCAGGCGCGACAGAAAGCCCGAAAGAAACAATGATACAAGGTACAAAAATGTGTCCAGTGGGATGCGAACATATCGTAGCCAGGAAGAATTGCGTGATTTCCTTCTCGGAACGTATGAAGCCGGGTCGCCTTTAAATCTTCCTGATTTCACTTTCCTGCATGGTTGGTTCCTCTGCGCAGGATACATAGTACACATATTACTGTAACGATATCTATGGTTTATGAAATAACTAATAATAGTATGACACAAAAGACATGCTGTTGAAACGGCCACTGAAGCGCCAGCAGCAGTGGTAAACTCGTCCGAATTTGAAGTCAATGGGGAGGAAAGGGTACCGTTTCACGAGTTTTTGACCATTTAACTTGGTTTTTCACACACGCACCACTTGGCACCTCCACTTTCCACGAAGCCAGCATATCTCGAGTTTGGCTTCAACGGAGTAGACCACACATGTGTGAAGTAGGAATGGGCAGCTGACTGGATAAAGGGTGATACATACTTTCTCCAAGAAGCGCGGCAGCTTCTATACCATGTTCATGTGAGCGCTTTTTCAGTGTGGGACTTCCTGATGCAGAGAACCAAAGCATTTATAGTCGCGACAAGCATGAGGACCGCCCTTACGTGCACTAATATTGGTTCTTTGCTTAGTACGTAGTCCGTCAAAAAGATGGACGTCTAGCGAATTCTTTGGCAATTATTAACAACTGAAAGGTCCTCAACGCCTATTTAACGGCAGTCTGCTCTTGTCGAGAAGCGAAAAGTGCCAAATATTGAGCACTTCGCAGTTCGTATCCTAGGCGTTTAGCTGTTCCTACGCATTCATCCAAACAACCCTCTACAATATTTGAACCATTCAGATTCGGCTCCAAGTTCCTACTACATGGCTACGTTGGTAGTGAGGCTTTCCTCACTCTTAGCGCCGATACAAAACGTACTGGAGCATCATCACTATTGATGGGCAGAAGCCGCAAACCAGCCCCACCACCTCGCGACGCCACTGCAGACGACTCCAGCAAGAAATCACGATCGGCAAAGTCAAATTCAAGACGAAAACCCTCTAAAGATGCCCGCAGAAGAAAATCTAGTAAAAAGGGATCCGCCCGTGGGCAGGTGCGTAAAGCTAACTAATATCTGTGCTCTATAACTCAGTTGAATCCCTTTCAGGAATACTCTGAATAACAATGTCCCAAAATGCAGACGTCAGTACAATACTTCGTAACTTTATTCACTAACAATAACACGTTATTATTAAATGTATTGGATACATAATGAAGATCATGGGTTCACACACAATAGACTGATATAAACAAGTGTGTTTTCATCACCATCGGCCACCACCGCCGCCACCGTAGCCACCACCATTCTCGTACCTGAACAAGGTCGATTAGATAAGGGGAAAAAATAATTCAGTTGTGAGAATTTGCGCGGCATCGTTGCGCAAGAGCCAGTTCATTCACTTGTGAGAAATCCTGAATATTATTCAGGTTGGAGTTTTCTTCAGAGCATCAAAATCTCTGATAAAAACTTTGTGTGGTTCACTAGGACAGAATGCGAGTCTTTCGCGAAATATTTTCCGCTGCGGGAACCTTAGGTCCATCGCTGATCATCAGTGTACCCGAGGTTCCTGCAGCAACAACTCGCTTACTGTCCTAGTAAACCACACCCTAAGAACTTCACGTGTGTGCATGCCTTTCTGTAAAACTATACAAAACAATGGCTCACCTTCCCTTCTTTCCTCCATAGTCATCTCCTCCGCTATATCCACGTTTCATACCGCCACCGCTGCTTCCAGCCCACCGACCTCGGCTGTTTCCACTACCACCCCGTCCTTGCAAATCGCGAAGTGGCTGCGGGACTTGTTGGCCAGCTTCTTCCAAAACCTTTATAAGGTCTCTCGCCTTGGGAGCATTTTGCGGTGTGAAAAATGTGTATGCTGTTCCCTGAAACACAAATAGGTAAACAGCTATACAGCAATGTTTGGAGATTAAATAAGAAGCTTACCCTCTTTTCACGGCGACCGGTACGTCCGATACGGTGAACATAGTCCTCCGAATTATTAGGGTAGTCGTAGTTAATAACATACTTAATGTCATCGACATCTAAAAATTATCCATAAACTAATCGTGACGTGAATTTCTACACACCAATACATGTATATAACACTCGCACAATAACTAGCTAGGATTCAACTCAAGTGGACACGAGACACGATTTTCAAGAATTTTAAACACCGTACTCAGCAAAGCGGTTGCTCAGAACTTGCTTAAAATTCCTTTCAACATGGCTCATAAGAAGTTGTGATATGAGTAGGGTTTCCCCGAGGAATCGCAATGTTGACTACAGCATTTTCTTCCTTGAGTATCCCTTTCAATGCTGTGGCACGCTGTGCGCCAAGTGCTAGCCTCATTGATTCTTGATTCTCTAGAGGATTAAATTAGAGCACTTCTCGCCAATGCGTGCTCAGAACCTATGACATGTTTCTAATATATTATGAGTTTAATTTAGACCGAAAAGTGAAGCAGCTTATGGAGCCGTATGCAGCACGTCAGTGGCCGGGGATGGGTCCCCAATCTCTGCATTTCTAAAGGCCAAGGATGCATCTAATTAGACTCGGTTACTTGCCCCGCGTCAGTGTGTTGCGCTTCCTCGCCTAACCAGCTGCTTATAAATTTTGTTGATTCACATACTAAAACATAAGCCGCTAGCCAACCAGCACATCCATCGTAGAAGCCTTCCACCTCAATCTCAAATCAAGACTTTGAGCTTCTTGAGTTCACAACACAGCATTCTTGTGAAACTATGAGCTTCCTTTTAGGCTGTCGAGGAAGAGTCAACCGCTACTCTGCAACCATCTGAGCGGCAGAGAATATGAAGGAGAGTAGTCAAGTGTTGCTTTACTTTCCCCCATGGACAAGTATTGGTGGGATCGTCCAGAGGTGTAGTGTTTTGAACCAATCCCAATCCCAAGCGGGGTGGGTCGTGCTGTATACGGCCGTGGAAAATGAAAGCAACTTTTCGCTCTTCCACTGCGTAAGCCTTTTGCTGGGAAGTACAGCACATTAGATTTGACGCAAACCGCGCCGAAGAAATGTTCATTAGGTGCGTTCTCTGAGAAATATTTGATTCGTGATTTTCAGCTCAAAATCAGACTTGGTGATGAGCTTTAATTTGGAACTAAAAAATTACTGCGCGCTTACATGAAAAATGTGCTCTACATCAAACCGAAGTCGAGCAACAAGTAAAAAGTGCACTGCATGCCACTGCATACAGGGCAAGAGCTCTTCAAAATCGTGTCCAAAGCACAAAAGAACTCTGCCTATCAAAAGAAACTAATCTACGAAGGCAAAATGAAGTACTCGTCCACACACCTGCGAGTCCGAATGCTGGGAGAGGCGGTGGACAGACGGCCGCGGCGAGACTTCACTCCACTCCGGAACTCCATCCACACCCGGACAACTATGTCACGGGAGTTCGGTTCCGACTCAGAGCGGTCGCGTGCTCCTCACGGAACACGTCGACTCTCACACACGACGACCCACACACCGCATGTGCACGCGCACACGGCTTAGAGCTCTGACTCGACTACTATAAAGCCGGTGTCATATTTTGAAGTGAACGAGTGCCACCGTCTCCAGTCTTGACACGGTTTGTTGGCTTCTACTGCAGAAAAGGCGCGAGTTGACACCGGCATTGTAAACGTTGCTCAGAAAGTCAGCTCTGCGACCATCAGAGCCATCGATCATCGAGATACGTTCATTTCACCCAGCTCCATAGACCGCTGCGCGTACACCTCACCAACATCCAAATCAATGTGCACAACTCTTCAAATAAGATATTGAAGAATTATCATAGTATGAATCCAATTACTCAAGAAATTAACGAACGAACCAATGAGACAGATTCACTTCAATGACGCAAAATGTTAACCTACCTAAACCACGGGCAGCAACATCTGTTGCGAGCATAATAGGTGTTTTGCCAGCCTTGAACTCTGAAATTGAACGTGTTAAAAACTGCTAGTCTCCTTATAAACGAAAGTTTCTCTCATTCATTTGATGAAGCCAGCATGAAATAATTTATTTCCTTAAAGCGTTTGCGTGCAGGGACTCAAAGAAATATAGGCCCTTAAAAACACCAAATGTCCCTGCCCTTGGACTGGATTGCACTGTTCGTGTCAAAAAAGGATTCAGTGGGATCCAGACATAACACACCCAAGGAATATTGCACGATTTCTACCAAGAAATCCTATATCAAGCCGCCTCACCTTAAGATCCTACTAATTTCAGCACCCTTTCGCGTATGGATGATTACTCTGCGCAGTAGTACATAGTATTAACGACATCATATGAAAAAGATGTGAATGATAAGGGGACAAATTGTGCGACGGTCACTGAACGGCCACCAGTCGTGGCTAACTCGTCCAAGCGGGCTCTCCCCTGGCTACACCTCGGTCCAAATTTTATTGTAAATCAGCGCGCCACCTGGTGAGAGAGAAGCGTTCCATCTCGGATTGCCGAATCCGTTTGTGATTGTATTTTCTTTTCATCGCCATTTGACATCTCTACATACAAGAACCGTCTTTAACAATGATCGCCGTGCCCACCACCTCTGTCCATTAGGAAAAAGTTGTTCTAAAGGCTAAACACTCCCTGAAGGCATTTTGCAAGGCTTTCACTAGTGTTTTACTTCCCTTACCCTCGTAACTGTCATATTTCCAGGAGCTTCCTCAACTCGGAAAAAAAAGTATTCAGGAAAGAATTCTAGCGCTACAAAAACAAGATAATGTACGTGATGTGGATAACACCGCTTGTTGTTGTTGTGATTAGTATTGCCACACAATACTAATGGCGACTGGTACACATAGCAGGGTCTAGTTTCCAAATTATTTTGGCAGAACTAGATTAAAAGGAGCGAAACCGCGTGACGAGAGTGGCTGTTAGCTGAGATAACACTATCAATAGACTCACCACTCAAGACCCAGTCACGTTCTCCTTGATTTTTGTCTCCATGAATACAGAGCGTAGGCCAGCCATCACGACGCATCCATCGTGTCAGGTCATCCGCTTTGCGCTTTGTTTCCACAAAGATGATTGTTTTACATTCAGGCTGAAAACAACACAGCAATGATCGGCGATTCTAAAAAACCACATCTTCACAAACCTGATTCATTATATCATTAAGAAGTTGCATCAATCTAGCTTGTTTTGCATGTTCTTCTAATACATCCACAAACTGTGTGATATTGTGATTGGCAGCAAGCTCCATGGAACCAACATTAAGGAACGCTGCGTCTTTCTGGAAATCAGATGCGAGCGCACGCACTTCCTTCGGCCATGTGGCGGAGAACATGAGAGTTTGGCGATCGGGCTGAAACACTCATGTATATAACTTGACGAGCCTACCGAGCTTCGGAAAACAAGCTAGGATTCAACGCAACTCACCCTAATTTGTCCTATTATCTTCCGAATTTGGGGTTCGAAACCCATATCGAGCATCCTATCCGCTTCGTCAAGAACCAAATAAGAACACCTTAACAAGACAGCATAACCATCTACAAATCTAATGATGAGATGTAGAACTACCGTTTCATATTTGTGCTATTATTATCCAAGAAATCCAATAATCTTCCAGGAGTAGCTACAACTACATCAACACCACGTTCGAGATCACGAGCCTGGGGTGCTTTCGAAGCACCACCAAACAGACATGTCATTTTCAAGCCGAGGGAGTTGCAGAAGTCAATCGAAACCTGAAACCCGGCCAATTAGTCAACAAAATTTGACACTTATTTAATTTAACCCCCACAAATATTTTTCAACGCAAGTACAAGTACACCACCTCTTGCACTTGTTGGGCTAGCTCTCTAGTTGGCAGCAGTACTAGCACCGATGGTCCCTCATATCTAGCTCGTGGTGCTTGCTTTGTCGTGTGAATAAGTCCAGGAAGCATAAACTGAAACATTATCGCTCTTTTTGTTTACAAAGTCAATACTAGGAGAGAAATCTTACCGCTAGTGTTTTTCCCGAACCAGTTTTGGCGATGGAAATGATGTCACGGCCACTCATTGCAATTGGCCACGATATTGATTGGATGACGGTTGGCTTTTGGAATTTAGCGTACAGCAAGTCTACCAGTTCATCAGGAAGCGCTGCTTCGTTGAATTCCCACACGGGACGCGGTATTCCCCGACCATCGACCGTGACTTGGTTTTCGCTGATCCACTGATCGATTTCGAACTGAAACCTTCGAATCTTAGAAAACATGCAGCCACTTTAAAATACATCTTTATGAAAACCCAGAACAATGATAATTTTAACTTTTAACTGATTTACACTACCTGGTCCCTTCTAGAAACTGTCGCGTGCTCGCGGTAGAAATCTTTCTGGATAGGCTTCAGATTTTCTTTGCTCCAATCTATATCACGGAGACGGCTCCCTGGATTTCCTTGACCGCCTCCTCCACCACCACCTCCTCGGCCGCCACCGCCGAACCCGCGTCCTCCTCCTCCGTAGCCACCACCGCCATAGCCACCGCCTTAAAAGGAGCTGTACGGTCGTACAAAAACATTTATGATGCAATGCGCAGAAAAATCGATGAAGCACATACCGCCTCGGCTGTCGTAACCACCACGACCGCCGCCGCCGCCACCACGGCCTCCTCCTCCTCGGCCTCCGCTGCCTCCATATCTGTCACTGAAAACGAAGCCATGAACAAAATGAAGGTATTTCCCAACAACTAAGAGTGGAAGACCAGGGATCAGAAGTAAAAGTGAGAAACTGCCACAAAACACAAAACTTACTACTGATTATCTCTCATTGTTGCGCTGTGATGAATTTGGAATGCTTTCTTTTGATCAACGAGCGGAAGATTCGTTTGACGAGTGTAGCGATCAGGCTTCGGCTTCGATTCGCTACTTGGTGCTCGAGCAGAGGCTGTGCACAAAATTCGAGTTGAACAGTATCCTTTCTCAGCGATAGCAAGTCGTGATAGCCCAATACGAAGTGAATTGAAAAGCATAAACTCTACAGGAGGACCGGACAGAAGTAGAGCAGTACCACCACAAGAACCCCAATGAGAAAAAAAGACACCGCCCGTCTGCGATGACACGGCCTAAACGAGGAGAACCGCTGCGCGTCAACAAGATCGATACGCCGCCGGTCGTTTTCGCTGTGGGACCACCCCGCGAAAGTCCGAGAGGACGCCTTTCGCAGCGGGTGGTCTGCCACGCCGCAGCGTCGCGTTCGCGACGACGGCGACCCGTACGCGATAAAACTTTCCCGCGTCCTTGGACAAGCGAATGTGCGTGTGCTAATGAGGCTGACCTGAGAACACTGCAGGGGATTTACATATCAGGATGAGCACATTAGAGTACTACCCTGTGGGGATATGTGCTCCCAAACATCACCGCTATACAAACACAACTAAAGTAACAGGAAAGTCCATGAGGCGTTTTGAACTGGTTGATTGAGATGGAGTCAGTGGAGTCGCCTAGAGATTCATGGCATAGAAGGTTAAGCTACTGGGAAATAGAAATTCGCTGATGAATGCGATTCGATCAATGAGCTTGAGCATAATAGTAGGAAGTATATGAACAGCCGAAATATCCAAGTTTAGGAAAATAAAAGTAAAAAGTTGGTGCAGTTCAGGTGGCGACGAAGCACTCGATAGATAGTGTTCGATCAAATGGAATATGTTCAAGAGTTTTTTGACACAGTAGAACCATAGAGTAGAACTTTTGAAGGAGCGTTGCAGAACATGCGCTGGTTTAGTGGTTAACGACACCGTTTTGGTTCATCGCTCTTCTACACCTTAATAAAGCAGAGCTAAAAGATTAATTCCACTTGCTCCCAACCTTCCAAGCTGTGACCTCGCAATAGTGCCCAGTGAACCCAGTGAACCTAGTGAGGCTTTTATACCACCAGGCACTCAGGAAACCAGGGCCGACTTGAGCTGAGAGCCGAACTTGATCTATTTCAAAATTCTTTAGTAGGATAGAACAAGGAAAGCACCGAAAAATTCCCCTAAAGTCTTCAACCTGCAAATATTCCTCTTGCTCTGCGTTATTTCCTCACCCTTCTTTGAGTTTCCTTTCCCCACTTTTCTTCGAGTTCAAAGCAGTTGGTGTCGCCCATGAAAATCATTTCGTGCACTCCCTATAGCAATTCAATCACGAAATGTGATTGAATTCCTGTGGTCTATGCTAGGTGATTCCAACAACCTGTGGCATGTAACCAGCGCTACTTCAGGCGCGTTTTGGTCGCGTGTCCAATACAATGAGATCGGAGTTGGTCTAATGGACCTGTAACAGTCCGCTTAAAACATGTGACCATATCATAAGACAGACTGCGCGTGTTTTAGCTCACTATCAGCTATCAGTTTTCATATCAGCTGCTCAGAAGAGACTTTTATGATTCACAGCAAATGCAGTCCAAACGCGTGACGCCCATTGTCAAGGGCAGTGCTCCTGTCTTCATCACATCGAAGAGTACCTCAGCTTTTTGGTTGTGAATAC